ATGTTTGACACTATAAAATATTATATATTTCTGAATGATCAATTTGACTTAACTAAAATTTATCTTTTATTGAGTACAATCGATAAGATAAATTTTAAAAGTATGTTAAATAACACATGAGATATGTGAAGACAAAGAGTTGCTAATTTAATGATCTAAGAGTTACATGGAGATACAATTGATATAGTATCTACACAAATATTTTATCAAGGTTTGTTAAGTACACTCAAGGTTTTAATATAATAAATGGAATCCCAACCCACTGTGAGTCAAGTATGGATTCCATAAATTTATGTGAGGGGGTCATAAATTTGACTTAAACAGTGGGAGCATAATTAATTTAATAAAAGATCTTGTTAAATTAATTGATACATTCTATACATTATTTTTTTTTAATTTTCGTCATTTACATTTATTGAATCATGAGTAATCATATGTATTTGAGAGGCATATTGGATGCCAACAGCCAAATCAAATTTTCTTGATTGGCACCACAATCTGATAATTGTTCTCAGGCATGGGATATTGGTTGTGTCCTAATTTTTCTTCGTTTATATTTATTAAATCATGAGTAACCATATATATATATATTTGAGAGGCATATTGGATGCCAACAACCAAATCAAATTTTCTTGATTGATACGGCAATCTGAGAATTGTTCTCAAGCATGAGAAAATTGGTTATGTCCTTGAGTAGCCATTTCCACATAAACTCGTTACTGACTTGACAAAGAAAGTGCTGACTGTTATAATAAATGTAGTGATGACGATAGTACTGCAACATGTGTGATACTTGCAACTATGTCATCTAAATTACAAAAGTAACCTGAAAGTATAGATACTAACACAAGATTTTTCATTTCAAAGTGTTGAATGATAAACAATCGCGTGTGAAAAGATATGAGATTTCCTAACAATTATATCAGTGTATAATGGCAGAAGAATTTCCAGTCAGTGCTCATGTACTTAAAATGTTGACCACATTGAAAAGCTGTCTCAGTAGAGTTCAATCATGAACCATGAACGAAATATAGACTTGGTTCTGCAATCTTTGTCAGTGAGTTATTCATAACTAATTATGAATTTAACATGAACAAACTCGAATGCACACTCACTAAATTATTGAACATGCTTAAGCTTGTTAAACCCAATATGCCATCTAGATTGGTGTTAAACACCATTGATATTAGATAGCATTACTTCTGAAAAATGATAGAAAAGTTTTGCTTCTTCCTGTGAGTTAATAGCTGTGTTGTGGGAAAGGCTCAAGCTAGGAAGCATTGACACTTGCTTACCCAAGCCCAAGCCTTACCCAAGTGTGTTGCTTTGGACCGTCGGATGAGGATCAGATCTACTGTTGTTGTGCTGTCCATATATACCAGCTTGATTGTCCATTTTGTGTCGTGATTCTCATTCTCTCCTTCTGCTGTGTGCAAGAAAAGCTTCTGGGTTTTCTGCCTTTGCGATTCTGCTCGTTTCTTCCTTCTCTACCTTTTTCTTTGTGATAGGATTAGAACACCTGGTTTTAATCATCGTTCTTTTTGATATTAGCTCTGTGATTGAGGGGGGGTTTCGACTTGTAGATTGATGTGTTCGATTGAGTCCATTGTAGTGGCTGCTTAGGGTTAGTGTCTTAGGGTTTGGGGCTTTTGTGGTCGATTCTATATTGTATAGACGAGTACAATGTTCTATTTCTGAGCCTAAAGAAATATAGATGATACTTTGTGTATATTGTTCAGTTTTCTTGGTGAATGCTTGACTGCTTCCGCTTGTTTCTTGAGACTTATTCCCTTACAAACTTTATTGTTAAATGCAACCTAGTATAGAGCAACACTTCGTATGTTGTCGACTTGCTGCGAGTATTGAACATTAACAAGAAAAGGGAAACTAACCTACACATAATCAAAAATCGATGTGCAGTGGATATGAGATCGATGGATATCGCGAGCTCTTTCATAGTAATGATGCGTAAAGGTAAATGCGGTTTGATTTTGACCGTTACTAGCCTATTTTGAAACCAAAATTAAAGTACCCAACTAATTATAAAGTTATCATAAATTCAATTTATCCCTTATAATTTCAATTTTCAAGGCACATTGCACAATGACTCAATGACGCTTCTTGGATCTTTCGATTGTGTTTCTTGATCATTCAATATCTATAAATATTCGATCATTTCTTCTACATTCGTACACTTGCACATATTTGACACCGTCAGTTTCATACCGTCTTTCAAACAGACATTTGAATTAGCCATCGAAGTGGTTGCTAAGAGAGAGGACCTTTGTCAATCTCTTTTGCCCTTTCTCAATGTACTTATTATTATGGGGTCGATGCACACAGTAAAACAAGGAAGCAACTGGTCAGGCAACATTAGTAAAAAGGATGATAGAAATTTTAGACAGGAGACTTCAATATTGTGTCACATACCTCAGATTTTTATCACCCTCGAATGAGTTGTTGCTTAGGAGCCTCGGCAAAAATGAGTCCAACGGCTTGTCCACTACATTGCAAGGTTTGGATACATTGTATGTTCACACAATAGAATCCATTACACACATTCCTAACAATAGCACATAAGGAGAGACGTATCTTCCAGAGGAGCAATTTGATCATAATTTCAAATAAACTATTCGACATCAAAATCCCGACTACCTTAAGTCGAAATTGATTTATTTACGACTCAGTCAAACCTGAGTTGATCAATAGACTTACATCATATCATTGAGAACAAGCTGAACTTCGGTAAACTAACCTATACATGACAAAATTGAATTACATTATACAGAAAAGACAACTCTCTTGCAACATTGACATGTATGGTAGCAAAACTGAAAGGAACTGAACTGTACAATAGACAAGATTTCAGCTTTTCCTTTTTAAAACAACGACCAGTCCAACCCACCCTGCCTCGTACATGCTGTATCTTTAAACTGCAAAAAAGATTAAGCGCAATCTCACAACTGAGAATCTCATGTACTAAAAGAAACAACAAAGAGACGTTAGAGAAAATTTACGTACCACCAAAATACCTTCCATCTTCAGCCTACGCTAACGATTTCCTAGAATTACATTAATGACTTTCCGGCAACCTACAGCAACATAATAAGGTAAGCATTATAACAAGCAAAATCAACAATCAGCATTGATTTTGTTTTTATGCTACTTCCCGAGTGCATGCTGTCATAAGAAAGAACTAGATAGTAGATATTTTAAAATTTATTCATGTAATCACAATAAATAAAACTATTCTGTCTCTTTCCATTCACCAACATTCTTATTTACATTTCTTGACCCTCCTAAATTCACGTTTGGCAGAGGGTTGGATAGCATTGGATTATATTAAAATGGAAAAAAAGAAGTTAAAATCATGTTAATCATAATGTCCAGCCCTGTTGAGTTGTGTGTCCTTAACATGCACTACAAACGTCACATTTTTATAGAGTAAGGCTACGTGTACAGATACAGATGCCTAACAGACACTTGCAAGGGTGGATGGGTGGGTGGGTAATTTATTTTTTTTTTCACTTTTTTATTGCGCGGGACCCACCCTCCATGTGAGAGGGTGTAAGGCTTCTGTAAATTTTTTCTTCTGTACAAATGGCAATTTCCCATTTTCACATGTTTCATTAGAAGTATTACTTCATTTCAGAAGATTGATATTCATAAAACAAACAATGAAAGAAAAGTGAAATGTAAATAGATAAAGGAACATTCGAACAACATACCGCCATGGAAATTCACTCGTATCAATCCCAGCTTGGTGAAGCTCGTCGACATACTGCAGTGCTTCTCGGCATTCCTCACGATCGTCAAAGAACTCCTTCTTGTCACCTTCTATTTGATATGTTTCATGGCCTTTACCAGCAACCACCTGAGGCAATCATTAATGTAAATGACAGAGGATTGCAGTGACAAGATTTTTAACATATATTATCTCAACTTTCTAAAATGTTTGAATAAATATGAGAAAAAACATTATGGTCATTGAAAACTTACAACCATATCGCCTTCCTCACCCATAGCAACAGCACATCGGACAGCAACTCGTCTTATATCATGCAGAAAAAGCCTATGGCCATTAGAGAGAGGTGGATAGTAATCATTCTCTCCATGTTTCAAATAATCCTGCATTGTCCATCCTACACCGGCTAACATATCATCCAATATGTCCACTAGTGAAAATGAAATGATTGGGGATCAGTATATTTTCAGTTTTTAAACATGCACAAGAATCACGTCCATGTACTTGCAGCAGAGACAGGGAAGAGGGAGGAGAGAGAAAATAAATATATCTTTGTAGGGGAAAAAAAACCTTGAGTATACTGAACTGCCTCCTTGAATAAAACAGTCCACACTTCTTTCTAAATTTTTGGTGGGATAGAATGCAGTAAGATACCAGTCCAATACGAGTAATGTTGTCAAGTTATTTTTATTTTTCTAAAAATTTCCAGATAAGTGTGTGCTGGGGCGGACGCAGAACTTAAAAGTTAGGGGGGCACAATCGAACTTGCAAAGAAGTTAGGAGAAATTTTACGATCGAAAATTTATGTCCAAAAAAATCATACCCCATGCAATTTTACATCCGAAATTTTATATGGGATATGACTTTTTTGCATGTAAAATTTTGATATCATATTCCATATAACTATTTGATATGTCCATAATGTAGTTCTCGAAATAAGTTTTGAAATGACATAAACAATTTGTAAATTTGATTCGCGTACAATCGTCGAAATTTTTTTAAAATTAACATGTTTTCGAAAATCAAATTTATTGTGATTTTGCCTCTATTTGGTGGAGATTAAAATCAAATTTTTAGTAAATTTTGATAAAAGTTAAACAGTTATAGATTCCATGAAATAAGTTATTAAAATTAATTGTTAACTTTGATTTAGATTTCAATCAATATCGGAGGGTCCGCCCATGAGTGTGTGGTACATATCTAGAATAACATTTATGGTGCCATCACTTTTCAGAATATAAAATATGTAAACAACATTGAACCTTAGTTGAAAACATCTATAGATTTAACAAAAATATGTTACTGGATTCAGTAACATCAGCAGAACATATCATAAAATACTTACAAGGATCCTCATTTTTTGGGTTGTCTGATGTCAAGATTGTGATGTCACTTTTATCAGTTGCGATTTTTGTCATCATGGGCCTCTTCCCTCTGTCACTCTCTCCAGCACAACCAAAAACTTAGAAGGCACATTAGAATCAAGTCAGAGACGACATAGATATTTCTCTGCAAAACCTTAAGCTAATATATGAGCATTAGCAACAAGAATGGTCCTAAGTTTTTGTATATCTAATGTCACATTCAGAATAAAAATGCTCCAAATAGCGAAAAAGAAATCCAATAATACATCCTGAAGGAAAACTGCTTTTGATAAACAATCTATTTTGCAAAAACTTCCAAGTGCACAGCAATCTGGAATTGGAAATTCAAGAATTTCTCTTAAGCATGCAAATCTCAAGTTCGCAATTTCAGCAGCCACTATCCTCTGCCAGTGATGCAATATATTTTTAAAATCTTTACAAGTTTCCTTCTGCAACAAATTTTATACTCAATTTAACCTGATGATTTAAAATCTAGATAAGCCTATGATCTTTTGTAGAGGTGGGCATTTTTTTGGGGAACAAGATAGAATTCTAGGTGCTGGTTTCTTTTCTTTTATTCCGAGTTTTCCGGTAAAATATAACACCCTCGTTCTCTCATCGGTCATGTTTCCACTTTCATTCTCTACTTTGATTTCTTTGATTTTTCCCTTTCCTCTTCTTCAATTCTTCCTTCTCAAGCCAAATTGGAATATTGTATGGGTAATTCAAATCTACATCTAAATAATTATGTAAATAATATAAAATTTCATACTCATTTTCAATTTCACAAGTGATTTCATATTTTATTTTCATAATTTTTTCAATATAAGGAATCCGATTGGAAGTGACACGACTGAACAGGAACCCATTGGTTCGATTCCTCGTTAGATATGGAACTAATGGTTCCATTGTTACGATTCTCATTGGTAGTCGGTTTGATTTGGCTCCGTTCGAAATTAAACTGAACCGGACTGCGCCCACTTCTACTCATTTGCATGATTTTATATATTGTATTGACAAATATTTATGTTGATAGTCATTCAATTTTCTTACCAATATTTTCCATGCTAAATTAGATATTGCATATCTAGTTGCATCATTGATTTGTATAAAAGATCGTGTGAACCATTTTCAGCTCTATTTCTGCAAAGGTACAAAACCTTAAAATTGTTCAATAAATATTGATCATGGTTTTTTTTAAAAAAAAATGGAATAGCTTGTAGTCCTATTTTGTGGTGTTCGTATCTCAAGTTTATGGTCCTAGCAACCACCATTGTTCGAGGTATTATAACTTTCGCGCAACCTACTAATAGATCTATTCCAGGAACAACGGGATTAGATGAAATTGAGATTGATCAAATTTAAGAACCTCTATAGGATTGACGTCAACATAAAACGGAAGAGTAATGGTACAAATGATTGAGTCGGATAGATGCCGTAAATCCCGTAATGGGAAGACTCGTTATCTTGTAATATAGCATTAAAAGTAATGTGCACTTCCTATCACACATCATTTCTTTCTTTCTTCTACCCTGGTAAGGATTCCTAGAGCTAAGGCATGATATCCCCTACTTTATTAATGTTTTTGTATTCTTTAGTTCACGAGTAGGATCCATATCTAGCCTCAAACAATAATTTTTTCTATTATTCGACTAAACAAGTATGGTTAACATCCAACTCCACCCCTATAAAAGGTGGTTTTTGCTTCCAAAAGAAAGAAAGGACATCAGTATAACCACCTTTTAGCAAACACCTTTTAGACTCAATTATATTATTATAAATGCCCATAATCACTTTCACTGATGAATATGATTTATAGATTTTTAAACTTCTATATAACAATTCATCTGCTGCTATTTCATACTTGTAACTTCCTTATCTGCCAAGGTCACTAAGATTAGCGCAATATCATAAAGAAGTATATCCAACGTTGCAAAACTTTTATAGGGAATAGTAGGCTACAAGTAGAGTAGACTCAATAGTTGAGTTGACAGATAGACAGTAGACAGCATATAATTCTCTCTCCAAAGCTAAGGACACTATTAGTTTATTAACTAACCAGAGGCAGGAGATTTGCTAATAGCTAGTGTGAATAATGTGGATAAAATGCTTTTTTAAAATGTATATAAATTATATAAACTTCTATTTGGCAATATTATCTTTTGACACACCAACAAAAATAAAGAAAAGAAATAACATGTGTAGTATGGACACTTCAACTAAGGTAGCATATCCGTGTCCGACAAGCGTCGATGTCGACACTCTTCGGGCACTCTGCCATAAACATTTTTCTTTTTTATTAAAAATATTATATATTTTTAACTCAAAATTATAAGTTAATAATAAATAGATACTCATATTTAAAAGATTTCAATAAATAAAATTAATAACTAGTATAAAACTAAATTTATACTAATTTAATCAATATGTCAACGACGTATCATATCAGTACTTTTTTGAAAAATCACGTGTTGACGTATCCTACACGATAACATATCGTGTCAGAAACAAGTGTCCATGTCGGTGCATCATAGGAAATAAAAGAAAGCAACCCTGTCCATAAGACCTTTTAGAAGTAGAATATCTAACGAAAAAGAAACTTGGGCGGACTGATAGAAGGGAAGGGTGCAGCTTATAAAACACATACCAGTGATGACCCTCCTTGGGCCAAGTTCCCTCACATAATCAAGAAGTCTGGACAATGCATCAGGCGTATGAGCATAGTCCACAATTACTCCAAAAGCCTGTTCCTCATCTATCAGTTCACACCTACCTGGTACTGCATCAACCTCTTCAATTCCTCTAACAATGTCCTCCAAAGGGGCCCCGACTGCAATTCCAACAGCTACAGCTGCCAAAATATTGTAAATATTGTGCCTCCCAAGTAAGCCCGATGAAATTTCCAATATACCTTGAGGTGTATTGACCAAAACCTGAGTCTCGAATAGAGATAGTTCAAACTTCAAAGGATGAACATCAGCCTTCTTGTTCTCCATTGCAAAGGTAACAACTGGTACATCAGGATTTCCCTGTGCAATAAAAAAAGCTGCATTGACATCGTCAATATTAACAACTTTGCGATGGCGTTCTGGATCCACCATCTTTGAAAAAAGTTTGGCCTTGGCATCCCTATACTCTTCCTCAGTCCCGTGAAAATCCAAATGATCCCTAGTCAAATTTGTAAAAACTGCAATATCAAAATCAACCTCATCACACCTTCCTAATGCCAATCCATGAGAAGAAGCCTCCATAACCAATGCCTCTGTGCCATTATGCACCATCTTTGCCATCAACTTCTGAACCAAAACAGCATCTGGGGTTGTGTTAGGTGACTCCAACTTGTTATCCCCATGAACATAATATGCCACAGTACTCAACATCCCGGTCCTCAACCCCATCGCCTCATACATACTCTTGATCAAATATGAGGTAGTTGTCTTCCCATTTGTCCCCGTTATACCTATCACTGATATACTATTAGAGGGATATCTATAAAACGAAGCTGCTAATGCAGCAAGCACTGCATTAGTATCCTCTACAATAACCAAAGCCTTGCAACCCAACGTCTCCTCTATATCAACCTCCTTACTAGCCACAACTGCAACAGCCCCTCTCTTATCCGCCTCAGATAAAAACAGATGTCCATCAGTTTTCCTTCCAACGCAACACACAAACAAATCACCACTCTCAACAACTCGTGAATCATGTGAAATTCCACTTATTTCAACCTCTAAATTACCATATACTGCTATGGGGACTACTTTACTCTCGTCTAAAAGCTCTACTAAACTCATTTTAAACTTGGGTTCCACAATTCTAGCCTTGGTTTTACCAAATTCATCAAAATCGATATCAAACGAAGATAACTTGCTCGAAAGTTCACCATCACTAACCTCAAAATCAGACTTTTCGAAGCTTTCATCGATTTCACTCTCATTTTCATCATCTGAAATCCTAGTCAACCCTTGAAGCTCTTTAATTTCATCCAAATCAACCGCTTCTTCAGGCTCTAATTCCTCAATTCTTTCAAGCTCCGCCTTGGGCTTCCCATTAGGACCCGGCTTAATCAGCCCCTTCTTGATAAACTCTTGACGTTTTAAAGCAATAGCTTTGTCTATTTCACCAAAAAGATCGTCCCCAGAATCGTCATTGTTAAGAGCATTGGGATTATCCTCAGTTTCTTCGAGAGCTTTAAGGAAAACAGGCTGGTTTTTCTTGAAATCTTCTTCTTGAATCTTGCGGGCACGGGCAGCCTGGCGATGAATTTGCTGGAACTTGTTGACACCGTGCATGGAATCCTCCGGGGCTTCAGGAGGATCATCATCTGATGGAGTCGGATAAAATTTTCCGTCCGGTCCAATAGCAGAGACAGTGGTAGTGGTGGTGGTGGTGAGAAGTGGCGGTCTGAAGCAAAGGTAGTGGTGATGGGGGTGTAGAAATGGGAGTGGGGCGGCGAGTTTGAGTTTGTTAGAGATAGAAACTGGCGGAGGAAGTGGTAGTGAGAGAATTGATAAAGGCATAATTACTGTGAGTGTAGAGAGAGAGGTTTTAGTGTTGCAGCGGAAGAGGATAGAGAGGTTTAGGAAGATGAGTTCAAAATTGAAAGTAGATACAGACGACGACGTATGCCCGAAAGTTGTAAAACGTTGTAGTTTCAATTGACAAACTCGGAGTGTGTGTGGGACTTCTTTTGAAAGAATGTATTATTAAATAGTAAATTGATGGAGAATGTGTGGTTAAAAATGAAGGAAAAGTTATGGATGT